AGTGTCTTCTGCAATTTCTTTCTTTAACTTTTTATAGTTTTCATTAAATAGTTCTTTTATATCTTTGGTTAGGTTAATTCCTAAATATTTTATTTTTTGGGAGGTTATTGTGAATGGGGTTGCTCCCTTTATTTCCCTCTCTTCTTGTACATTGTCAGTGTACAGGAAGGCAACTGATTTTTGTGGGTTTATTTTGTATCCTGCTATTTTGCCGAAGTGATTTATGATTTCTAAGAGTTTGGGGATGGAGTTTTTGGGATCGTGAAGGTATAGTATCATGTCGTCTGCAAACAGGGATAGTTTAATTCTTCTTTCCCTATGCGGATCCTTAAGGTATTCTTTTTAAACATAGTAATACCACATGAACTTATTTTTCCAGATTTTTGCCAAAGAAAAACAGGAATAGAGGTAGAAGTAGACACAGTGTTAGGGATTAATGTTAATCAATAATAAATGATTCCTTGTTTTGTTTTTAAAAAAGCCAGGGGCCCATGGCTCAAGCCTGTAATCATAGCTACTCAAGGGGCTGAGATCTGAGGACTATGATTTGAAGGCAACTCAGGCAGGGACTCTTTTTCCCCAATGAATCACAGAAAAAGGGAAGTAGTTGCTCAAATGGTAGAGCGCTGGCCTTGAAGAAAAGGAGCTTAGGGACAGCCCCAGAGTTCAAGCCCCAGGGTTGGGGGGGTGGGGAGGGGAGTCAAGCTGAGAAGGGTGGTTCACAGCTCAGCATTTGGGAGGCTGAGGCAAGAGGATAGAAAATTATAGCTTGAGCTACATAGTATGTCCCTGTCTCAAATAAAATGAAATAAAATCCCTGCATTCAGTAAGGCTGAGGCAGAAAGATCTCTAGTTCAAGGCCAGCCTGACTACATGGCAAATTCAAGGCCACCTTTCTAAGGCAGCCTAGACTACAGAGCAAGATCTCAAAATAAACAGATACACAGTATATAAATAAACGTCAAGGGCTAGCAAAACCTAAAATAAATAAATAAATAAATAAAAATGCTGTTTCTTGAACTGCAGACTGTCCTGTAAATGTACAAGTCATTTTTTTCTTTTTTTCTTTTTTTTTTTTTTGGTCAGTCGTGGGGCTTGAACTCTGGGCCTGGGTACTGTCCCTCAGCTCTTCAGCTCAAGGCTAGCGCTCTACCACTTGAGCTACAGCACCACTTCCGGTTTTCTGGTGGTTTATTGGAGATGGGAGTCTCACGGTCTCTCCTGCCTGGGCTGGCTTTGAACCAAGATCCTCAGATCTCAGCCTCCTGAGTAGCTAGGATTACAGGCGTGAGCCATGAGAGCCCGGCACAAGTCATTTTTTCTGTTACTGTTGATGTCAAAAGTGCTTTACTATGTGTATTTAATAAATCCATGATTTTAAGTGTAAGAATAAGTGAGCCATGGCCTCCTGGTATAAAAACTACATTTCCCACCCTCCCTTGCAGGGTGGCAGGACTGAGGTTGGAGCCAATGAAAAGGGGGCAGAATTGTGACTTTCCCTTAAGGAAAGAGGGTGAGGCTTTGCCTTTATCCTTCTCCTTCCTGGCTACAGATCATGCTGAGCTTAATCCAGATCCTGTGATCCAGAAAAAGAGGGAAGTTCTGAACTCTCCCTTCCTTACCCTCACTTCTGTACGCTGTAACAAACTGCCTTTCCCCATAAAACTGGACGGGACCCACAGTGTGCCTAAGACAGAGACTATAACCAACAAACCTGCCTCATCAGGGATTACCTGGAGCCCCACTGACCAATCAGAACAAAACGTGTCTTAACCAAACCAGTCAAGCCTCTCTCCTAGATGCCTGAACTTTAGGTTAGCCAAAGCCAGCACACGTCCCCTCCTAGGAATAGGCCAACTTCTGGGAACAAGTCTGATCTACTACCCATCAAGAATCCATTACCCCTTTCCTCAGACCTTTCTTTCTGCCTTGTTTATTCTTCCCTAGAGAGGAAGGCCCCAAGGTCAGAGCACTGTACCTACTACGATGCAAACAGATGTCCGCCCACAGTGAGCTTGACAGGGTTCTAGTCACCTCACAGCTGTGGTTCAAAACTACACCTTCTTTTATTTAATGATGATGATGATGACAATTCAGAAAAGCCAGGGAAGTCACCAAGTGCCACATGTCTCTACAGTGTCTGGTACTATCTGGGGGCTCACTGGCTGGGTATCTTGGAACCTATTTCCTTTGGGAAAAACTGGGGTGGGGGGGAGTTACCTAGTAACCCTTCTCTTCTTTAAACAGTCCCTTTCTGTTCCTGACAATAATCTTTTCTTTTCTTTTTTTGGTGCTGATTCTGTGGATTGAACTCAGGGCTCCTCACTCCTATGAGTGCTCTACCACTTGAGCCAAACCTCCACTTTCCGCTTTTTTCTAATTAATTGGAGAAAGAGTCCCACAGACTTTTCTGCCCGGGCTGGCTTTGAACCTTGATCCTCTGATATCAAGCCTTGTAAGCCATCAGCATCTGGCTTGCAATAATCTCTTTGAACAACTCTCCTTACCAGTTTTGCATTACTCTTGACCCTGGCTGGGACATTGATGTGACAAATAGAACTGACTTCTCTATCTTGGGCTATGAGGTAAACTGCAGTGGGGGAGGGAGGGGTTGAGCCTCCAGTGATTACTGCCAAGAACTGCTGACTTCCAAACTGTATTCAAGTTCAAGGGTAGCCTTTTTGTTTTGTCTTTGTAGCTGGACCTGTTGCACTCAGGTCTTGGGCACTCTACCACTATGAGCCACAACTCCATTTCTAGCTTTTTTAGTTAACTGGAGATAAAGTGTCTCCCAGATACTTTATCAGCTCAGCCTCCTGAGTAGCTCGGATTTACAGGTATGATGCCTGGCAGAAGTAGTCCATTATTTAGTTAAGATTTTGTTATGTAAGATTCTGTTACCCAACCTAATACTATTTTCCTGATTAAAATTATATTCTCAATGGCAACTCCTTTGTACAACTACTTAAAGATAAAAAAAATTGTATTTCTAACATGTAAGAGAAATCATTCAAGAAGAGCATACATACACTTGTTTTAATTCCTACTCTATGTTTGTAAATAGGTGAAGTTTTTCTACTGTTCATTTATAGTCATGTTCCTATGGAAAGAATCAACTCTCATTTCACAGGAAATAAATAAAAATCAACTTCCCAAGTTAAAAAAAAAAAGATTCTGTTACCTCAACTTACTTACACCTTAACAAAATACTAAGAAGCTGGCACTTGTAGTGTCAAGGGGTGGGGGAGGGTTCATGGGGAAGGGGGTTAGATGAATAGAGAGTGAAGACTGGGTGAATATGGTCATAATATTCAATGTATATGTGTGAAAATAAAATTAGGAAATTGGAGGGGAGGGTGGGGTTGGGAAGGGGGGAGAATGATGAAAGGGGTGACACGGATCAAGATGCATTGTGCTCATAAATGGCCATGTTGGAATGAAACCCTCTACACAACTCCTTAGTAATAATTTTAAAAAATTAATTTAAAGCCAGATGCCGGAGGCTCACACTTGTAATCCCAGCTACTCAGGAGGCTGAGATCTGAGGATAATGGTTCAAAGCCAGCCTGGGCAGTAAAGTCTGTGAGACTCTTATCTCCAATTAACCACCAGAAAATTGGAAGTGGCGCTGTGCTCAAGTGGTAGAGCACTCGCCTTGAGCTGAAGAGCTGAGGGACAGTGCCCAGGTCCAGAGTTCAAGCCCCATGACCAACCAAACAAAAAAAAAATTAATTTAGAAAAAAAATTGTTACCTAAAGTGTCCATGAACTCTAACCTGCTCTTCAGTGCCACAGCCAGCTGGAGGAAAGCTAGCGGGGAAGACCTAGCCTCAGCGGCAGTACAGGGAACGTGGTCCAGCTCGTCACCAGTGCCAACAGCAGGCCCACACTGACATGACATTGAGGAAGGTGGTGGCAGAAATTACTAGAACACATGAATAGCAGAGGAAGGGAATCCAGGTGTTCTATATCAGCTGCCTAAGAAGTCCGAGAATGTTAGCGTGGTAAAAGGCACAAAGATCACCTTGTCCTGTTCTGTTGTTGTGTCTAGAAATGCCAAAGAAATGGTCTAAGGTCAAACACCTTGGCAGGACAGAGCAAGATCAGAGCCAGGTCTCCAGGTAGGCACAGACCAACAACTCCGCTGGACAATTCTGAATGAACAGCTACAATCACCATGTCATGCCAGAACAAATCTTCAGTGAAACATACAGGGAGAAAGACCAGAGGGCTACACAGCAGAATAGACTCTTTCCCATGAAAATCCAGCCATGAAAAAAAAGCTGTCATAATTAGGACATACTCACAGCTCTCCATACAGAGGAATGATAAATGGAATTACCTCATCTTCTCCACAGTCTGGAGGAAGGCAGACGTAGGTGATGTTCAGACCAGCCTATGAGAGAACACAGGGTTCTCAGTCATGGTAAGAGGATACACTGTGAAGAATTATAATAAAGTTTCAGTCATCAATCCTTACCTCTTCAGCCAAACTCTGGTTGATTTCCTGCATTGAGTTGTCATTGCCTGCCTAAGAGGAGAGGAATAAGAGAACAGAATTATGGGGGAAATACCTTGACACAGCCCTCAAGAGGATACGGGACTAGATTTATGATCACAAATTATCTAATTACAAATTTGATACGGAAAGTGCAGGGGGAAAAAAGAGTCTTATTGCTTGGAAAAAGGTAGCTACTCAGGAGGCTGAGATCTGAGGATCACCGTTCAAAGCCAGCCTGGGCAGGAAAGTCTGTGAGACTCTTATCTCCAATAAACCACTGGAAGTGGTGCTGTGGCTCAAGCGGTAGTACACTTGCCTTGAGCTGAAGAGCCCAGGGACAGTGCCCAAGCCCAGAGTTCAAGCCCCATGACCAGACAAAAAAAAAAAAAAAAGAAAGGTGTAAATCACTTGTACTTATGAATATACTAATTTCTAGATGTTTGAATTATATCACAAAAAAAAATACACTGGGTGCTGGTGGCTGCTGAGATCTGAGGATTGCAGTTCAAAGTCAGCCTGGGCAGGAAAGTCCGTGACTCATCTCCAACCACCAAAAAGCTGGAAGTAGAGCTGTGGCTCAATTGGTAGAACACAGCCTTGAGCAAAAAAGATCAGGGAACTCTAAGTTCAAGCGCCAGGATGAGCATGCATGCATGCGTGTGTGCACAAGCACAAATGCGCGCGCACATACATACACAATATATATATATTATCCCACACATTATAGGACATATAAAGGCATCACTACAGCCAGGCGCTGGTGGCTCATGTCTATAATCCTAGCTACTTAGGAGGCTGAGATCTGAGGATCACAATCAGAAGCCAGCCAGGGCAGGAGGGCAGGCAAGGCTATGAGACTCTTATCTCCAGCTAACCACATTAAAACCAGAAGTGGAGCTGTGGCTCAAAGTGGAAGAGCACTAGCTTTGAGCAAAAGAAAAAAGCTCAGGGATAGAGCCAGGGCCCTGAATTCAAGCCCCACAACCAAAAAGAAAAAGGAAGAAGAAAAAAAAAGACATCACCACACAGCCAACATCCATCCAGACACAGGACACCATTTTAAAGACTGTTCTCTGCTGGAAAGCCAAAGTAAGCAAGCAGACTCCCAGGCAGCCCATTTTCCTTGGTCTATTTTACCTCAGCTTTCTCTGAGGGTTGTGGGGTGTAGATCCCATTACCCCCAAAGAATGTCAGGACCAGCCGCACAGCAATACAATCTGAAAGAACGGTTTCAACAGACCTGCAGGCTGCTATTTTTGATCCACTCAGAGCCAAGACCTACTGTAGCAGTCCAGCTGCTGGCCCTATCAGCTTCCAGACTTGGCTCAACTCGTTGTTTTCCTGTACCTGTCGCTGCAGGAGGATGCCCTGACACCCTGGCAAGCAGTGCCAAAATCATGGCAAATGGTGCCAACTACAGCTCAGAGTGAAGAGGCTGAAACCAAACGACGCAGAATGCAAAGTCGTTCTGACCCAGTGGTGAGACTTGGCAGGCAGGCTGAGAAGACGGGCGCGGGAGGATGACCAGGCATGCGCATGCGCACATGGAGCCTTTTCCCATCACCTCCCATCACTTCTGCTAAGCATCGATGAGCACGCACAACTCACCACATATCTGTTGTAATGGGATGTGATGTATGTGGAAGCCTACTTCTGACCTCAGGTAGACATCCATGCTCAGCCAGAAGGACTCAAGCCAGCCAGTATCTAACCAAACAAGCAACCAAAAGCTTGACAGAGTCACTGGGCACCAGTGGCTCATGCCTGTACTCCTAGCTACTCAGGAGGCTGAGATCTGAGGATCGCGGTTCAACGCTAGCCCAGGCAGGAAAGTCCATGAGACTCTTATCTCCAATAAACTACTCAGAAAACTGGAAGTGGTGCTGTGGCTCAAGTGATAGGGCGCTAAACTTGAGTTGAGCTGAAGAGCTGAGGGACAGCGTGCAGTTCAAGCCCCACAACTGACCAAAAAAAAAAATCTCAACAGAGCCAGCCAGTATCTAACCAGAGCCACCACAGACCAAGATTGCAGCTGCTCTTGTTCAATGCCGTGGCAGCTGGCGTTTGGTTCAGTGATTGCTAATTGAAAAGCATCCCTAGAGAGCAGGCCTGCCCCTTGTTCTCAGCTTACCTGAATGATGGCGAGAACTGGCTGAAAGGCAGGGTTTTTCTCTTGTAATAAACTCAGCACCTCTTTCGAATTCTGGATGACTTCTCTACATGGAGAAAGAAAAACAGCATGGGTATTTCTGCGTTGGTGAGTACCAAGGATGGACACAACACCTGCACTTACAGCCTTTGTTAAAAAGGAAGCGCAGAGGGAGAGGCAGAGAAATGGTGACACCAAGAAATCTTAATGCAGCCAGGCATGGTGCTCACGCCTGCAGTCCCTAGCTACTCAGGAGGCTGAGATCTGAGGACCACAATTCAAAGCCAGCCTCAGTAGACAATTCCATGAGATTCTTTTTGTTTTTGGTCGGTTGTGGGCCTGAACTCTGAGCTTGGGTGTTGTCCCTCAGCTCTTCAGCTCAAGGCTAGCGCTCTACTACTTGAACCACAGCACCACTTCTGGCTTTTTCTGCGTATGTGTTACAAAGGAATCAAACCCAGAGCCTCATGCATGCAAGGCAAGCACTCTACCACTGAGCCGCCTTCCCAGCCCCTCCATGAGATTCTTATTTTCAATTAACCAGCAAAAAGCTAGAAATAGAACTGTGGCTCAGGTGTGTCAGTTGTAAGCAAAAAAAAAAAGCTAATACAGAGCTCAGGCCCTGCATTCAAACCCCAATACCAGCATATACACACATGTACATACACATATACCCACACAGAAGTGTTTGCACACATACACAAATAATCCCAGGCTTAGTGGTAGAGTGCTTGCCTACCATGCATGAAGCCCTGGGCTCCATTCCTCAGTACCACATACACAGAAAAAGCCGGAAGTGGAGCTGTGTCAAGTGGTAGAGTGCTAGCCTTGAGCAAAAGGAAGCTCAGGGACAGTGCCCAGGCCCTGAGCTCAAGCCCCAGGCGTGGCAACAAATAAACAAACAACAACAAAAAATCCACAAATTAATAATCCTATTCCTCCACCAAAGTCCTCTAGCACATTCTATATCTCCCCAACCCAAACCTTGGGTCCACAGGAAAAGAAAAGACATAGAGGTGGGGAGAAAATAGTCGGGAGAGGGCGTGGGGGCGGGCAAGTGATAGAGCAGGCTGAATTCCAGGGCCCAGAGGTTGAAGGAGGAGTGTGAGGGAAGGGAAGCTGCTCACTGCAACGCAGGGGAATTGGCAACACCTAGAGCTGCTCCCACTGACAGCTGGATTGGTGCTTAATCCCTACACGGCCAGCTATGGCCACCTTCCCCATGCAGCCTCAGAGGTGCCAGGGCCGGGGTGGGCAGAACTCATTATGGTGAGAAACAGGCTTTCTTCCTGGCCTCTGTCTGACACACACACACACACACATCCTTACCCAAGTTCAATGTCTTCAACATTAAGATCTTGTTAGGTCTAGTTTTCTGCAGTGCTGGGTACTGGGGGTGTCACACAATGCCAGGGAAGTGCTCCACCACCCAGCGGGGGCCCTCAGCCCCCAGGCTCCCTTCACACACATCCTCACCCACATCAGTTTCCAAAAAGTGCAAGGGGAAGAAGTTTTGGCCAGATGTCTGAGCAGCGAGTCTTGCAGGGCATCACAGGACATGTACCCAGAGGGCACTGCCCGCTAGGCAACCAGAACTCATGATCAGTACGGGCAGCCTCTAATATGGCTGGGCTAGACACAACATGGAGATTAGCAGATGACAACCAGGGAGCATCTGCTTGCTTTTACACGCTAGGGATAAAGTGTCTAATTCCCAGCAAAGAAATGGCATTGTAATGGAGTAAATGGGACCATGGGGGAAGTTTATAAATCACCGTGTAAGCAGCAGCTGAAAGCCGCTTGTCCAATGATGGGTGACAAAGTCCTCATGCTGTACTGTCTCTCAGCCTGGTAGGACTGCTCATCTAGGTCAGGCTGGTGCCTAATTCTGCTTGGTCTGGGGAGGCCCTGGAAAGGGTTGGGGGAGGTCTGCAAACAGTTCTGGGCCTAAGAATGACCTGGAAAGCATGGTAAAAAGGTGTGGTTGCCAGGTACCAGTGGCTCAGGCCTATAATCCTAGCTATTCAGGAGGCTGATGAAGTTTATAGTTCAAAGCCAAACAGGCAGGAAAGTCTAGGAGACTTTATTCAGGAGGCTGATGAAGATTACAGTTCAAAGCCAAACAGGCAGGAAAGTCTAGGAGACTCTTATCTCCCTACAACCACCAGAAAACCAGAAGTAGCACCACAGCTCAAACAGGTAGAATGCAAGACTTGAGCAAAAAAGCTCAGGGACGGTGCCCAGGCCCCAAGTTCAAATCCTAAGACCAGGGGAAAAAAAAAAAAGTTTGATTCAAAAAGTCAGGTGAATGGACTTTTTTGACAAGTGTCCAGTTGGACCTACCCTGACACACTAAACACACACCAATAAGGCCACTTTCCCCAGAAAACACCTCTTGACTAACCTTATTAATCCAATAGCTTTCAGTAGCTTGTTTACAAGTCATCCAACTTTTTTTTTTTTGGGGGGGGGGTCCGGTCTTGGGGCCTGAACTCTGGGCCTGAGCGCTGTTCCTCAGCTCTTCAGTTCAAGGCTAATGCTCTACCACTTGAGCCACAGCGCCACTTCTGGCTTTTTTTTTTCTTTTTGCTTATGTGATGCTGAGGAATTGAACCCAGGGCCTCAGGTATGCAAGGCAAGCCCTCTACCACTGAGCCAACTTCCCAGCCCCCAAGTCATCCAACTTTTTAAATAGTTGAGGATGCTACATTGTAACCAACAAAGCTAATAAAAGGAAATGAACTCAGCTCCTCACCGTTTAACATTTGCATACATTTTCACTCTTCCTACAGGAACAACTAAGCAAGCAAGACATAGCATGCCCAAGAAATCTAAAAAGTAGCATCAATGTTTCCAGTTAGAGATTTCTAGCCCTAGGGCCTGGTTAATTCCTGTGAAAAGCAATGTGTGTCTTTAGGTGATGGTTAAGTGTTGCAAACACTGAGAATTCTCCAACTTATCACCTTGGTGCTTTATCATTAATCACTGCTAATTACAGCAGATGCCTCAGTAACCCCTGGCTCTCACAGACTGGGTAGGAATGACTAGGTCAGAATGACTTTCCCAGTTTCCCCGCAGAAGGCGCTGGACCACCAGAAAACAATGTAAGTGTAATTCAGAACGCTGAATCTATTTATCAGCCTGGGGCACTGGTGAATCCCACCAGTAATCATAGCTACTCAGGAGGCTGAGATCTGAGGATCGCAGTTTGAAGTGAGCTAGGGGAGGAAGGTCCATGAGCAAAATGAGCAAAATACTCAGGGATAGCTCAGGACTGGCACCAAAAAGAAAAAAAAAAGGATTATATTAGTATGCTTTTTTAAAACTTTTTTTTAATTATAAAGGTGATGTACAGAGGGGTGTTTGTGTTTTCTGTGATTATCAGACAATGGTTTGTCTTTTACTATCTTTGATTTGATGGAATGTAATAAATAAAACACCATACTTAACTGCTCAGATCAGAATACTGCAAAAAGTAGGAAAAGGGCCAGGCCACTTTAATAGACATCTGCCTCAGTCTTGCGCTGCTACAGAATGCCAATAGACATTGATTTCTCACTGGCTAGGAGGCTGGGAAATCCTGTGAAGGTGCAGGTATCTGCTGAGGGCCTCCTTGCCACTCTGAAGGCAGATGGGCAGCACAGCGATGAGGCTGCAGACCCATCCTTTCCCTGAAGAACCCACTCTCACAATACCAGCCCTGTGGCCTCAGCCCTTCTGACCTAGTCACCTCTTAAAGGGCCCCTCTGTCAATGCTGGTACAGGGGATCAAGTTTCCAACACTTGAAAATTGGGGTGGGGGTGGGGGGACATTCAAGTGATAACAATATCCTTAGATCTCAGCTTGGTGGGTAGCTAGGATTATAGGTGTGAGCCACCAGTCCCCTACCCCGCCCCACTGATAAACTGTGTGTGTGTGTCCTGGGGCTTGAACTCAGGACCTGGGTGCTGTGCTCAAGGCTAGCACCACCACTTGAGCCACAGCTCCAGCTGTCAGCACTGTCTTTTCTTCGCTGTTTAACAGTATTGAGAGAACTTTTAGACTTACTTAGACCATAAGCCATTCATGAAAACAGCAAAACAAGGCATTCTACACCTTCACACTCAGGAGGTGACTCTTGACTGTCCTGCAGTTTGGTTGTCAGTCACCTTGTGCTGTAAAGGGTATTAGTGATGTATCATTGTGGAAAACATGATGTCATTTTTGCCCACAAGTATTTGTGTCTTCCTCCCTCCCTTCTTTCCTTTGTGTGTGTGATTCAACACAGGATTTGTACATGCCAGGCAAGCCACATCCCCTTCTCCCCTTTTGTTTATAGTTTGTTTTTGATCTAGGGTCTTGCCATCTTTGCCAGAACTCAGCCTTCTGAGTAGCTGGGATGAAGGGAGGTATCACCACTCCTTACTCTGAGAACCTTATATAGAGAAAGGGTTTATACTGACTCACACTCCTAAAGTTCCAGCACAAACAAGGAAGCTAATGGCCCTGAGCCTCTGGCCAGAGCAGCACCAGGGTGGTGTCCGCAGAGCAAAACTTCTACTATGAGCTGTAAAACAGAGGGAGAGCACACAGTCATCCATCCTCCCCGTGACACACCCTCACTTGATCAAGGCCCCGCCTCTCACTGCCCACAGGAAATCCACACGGTGGCTCAAGCCTTCCACACGCAGATTCTGGGGATCAAATCCAAGCTGCAGCACTAGGGTTTTCATTACAATGCTGACACCCCTTCTGCAGGTTCTGACACGGTGACCTCCTGGTCTCCCAGGTATCCACAGATGGTGGGTAAGTGACAACCAGAGATGGTGTTACTGCCTCAGATGGCCTTCACATGATTGTTGACCCCAAGGGATTATGGTCCTCCAGTCACCCTGAGGAGTAACAGGTCATTCTTCAACACTTCCATCTCATGCCCCTGTATCCAGCACTAGCAGCCTTAGGGACTTCAGGCGTGGCTCAAGTGGTAGAGAGCCTGCCTGGCAAGTGGAAGTTCAATCCCCAGTACCTCAAAACAAGCAAGCAAGCAAACAACCCCTCCCCCCCCAAAAAAAAACCCCTTAATAGTAAAAATGACCATAGTTAAAAGGAAGAATCCCTCTGTTCTATATGTCCTCATTGAAGCTGGAATGACCTGGCAACCTCATTTAATAAACAAATAAACAAACCTAGGACACACAGGGATCAGGCCTGCAGGTGCACTGACTCACGGTGTATCAACCACTTCCCAAGTGCCTACCACCGCACAGGCTTGGCACTGCCAAGGACGGAGAGACATTTCCATGTGGGCGGTTAGGCGAGACAAACAGGAAATCAGGGACCAAGAGCTTACAGGAAAGGGCAGCGAGCAGTGCTATCTAAAATACAACAGGGAGCCAGGGGTGGCGGGGGACGACACCCCCAAACCACGGAAACGGTGCTCAGCTGCGTGCTGACATCTACTGACTCCAGAGCAAACCCAACGTTCAAGACTCATCAGCCACCCCTCAGAAAGTGACCCCAGAAAGTCACCAGCCAGAAGCAAGGAAGGAGGCAAGGGGGAAGAGGGATGGGAAAGAGGATGAGGAGAAGGGAAGGGGGAAGAAGGGGAGAGATAGACTAGGGGAGAGGGGAGGGGAGGGAGAGAAGGCAGGGGAGGGGAAGGCAGGAGAGGGGAGGGCAGGAGGGGGGAGGGGAGGGGAGGGCAAGGGAGAGGAGGGCAGGGAAAGGGAAGGGAAAACCTTTCAGAATAAAAGCTACGGGTGGGCAGGGAGGTACTGGTCCTGGGACACAGCGTGGGGGCCGGGGGCCGCCCTTCTCACCCTCACCTCCCCAGGATCGGGGCCCCGGGGAGGGGGGCTGAGGGTGGGGGCGCGGCGTGCTCCCACGATCCTCCGGATCCGGCGAGAACTCCGTCCGTGCTGCACGAGCCACTCGGAGCCTCCCGAGCAGGATGCTGGGGACGCGCCCGCCGCCCGCGCCCGCGTCCCCGCGCCGACCTCACGGGCGGGCCCGCCGTCACTCTTCCTCGCCGGGGCCTAAGTGGGAACTTTGGCGCGGGCAGCCTCACCTGGCTGGGGGGCGGGGGGCGGGTTGGAGAAGCGCGGGGTCCCCCCTCCTCCCGTCCTCCTCCTTCCCCTCCCTGCTTTCCTCCTCCTCCCGCCGCGCTCCCAGCCGGGCGGCGCCGCCCCTTCCCTGCCGCTCTGCGCCTGCGCGGTTGCATCAGCGCCCGCGGCCGGCGGCGCACGTGGAGCGGGGCGTGCGCTCCGTGCGCACGGCTCCGGCCAAGGATGCTCGCGCCCGATCCTTGGCCCCGGGGGGGAGGGGGCCCGTCCTCCCCGGGCTCCCCGTCCTGCCTCCCTGCGCAAACCTCTCCACGGCCTCCGCAAGTTGGCACCAAGCACTCGCGGGTCCTGCCCTGCAGATCGCCCGGGTCCCCGCAGGGAGCGGCTCCCCCCCCACACCCCCACCCCGCTCCCCATCC